AGGGATTTTGTTGATGTCACCGTTATAAGTTGGCATTTTGCTAGTGAGAAATTAGTTCCGCTATCACTTAATAGATGTGAAAATAAGTTCACGTGTCATTTAGTAGAAGGCAGCAGTGATGTATTAAATAGCGACAAATGCGTGTTTGCCAAATTTAAGAAAAATCTGCAAAACATTGAAACCTAGTTTTGTGGTTATGCCCACGGTTCCTAGACAAGTCTACGAACCGTGGGTTATGCCAATTGTCTATTTGTTGTGCAGTAACCATGGTAATACGAATCACGTGGTTGTGTTTAGCAAAGCGGCCCCTACCAGTTAATATTTTGGCTTCGTTTGACTGTCAATATTATCAATCATGATTGCATAACGTCACAGTGTTTTAAAAATACAAGTATACCAGTAATTACAGTTTCATTCACGTTTTGGCAAATTTAATTTTTATAGACAAAACAATATAATATAATCATTGATTAAATTTTGTCGATTAATTATTTCCGTAAATGAAAAAGACTATTGAAATGTACTTGAGTCATTAATTAGAAATCAGATGAAAATCTGAAATTCTCTAAGTAGGTACAAAGCTTCTACTGCTAACATCCGATATGAAAAAAAGTAAACGTATTTTAGATTTTCAAACAATTGCAAATTTCTTTTTCAGTTTGGAATAAATATTTTTGGGTAGATAGAGAATTCAGAATTGTCGTAAATATTTCCAAATGAATGAACGTTTTGTGTATACCTAATGTATTAGCAAAAAAAAATGTCAAGTAATTAATATGTTTACTTAAAAAAATCCCTAATCAGCACATCCGCTAAGTGCTGGTGTAAGATAATTAAATTTTACGACTTTTCCGTCTGAGAATGTATTGATGAGTATCATCGTTGATTGAATAATCCAAATTTGGGTTATTCATTCAACGGTATCATGTATCATATTAATAATATGTATTAGAATTGCAAAATTGCATACATATATTTAGTCGAATTTTTACAACCAAAGCAAGCTGTATTATAAAACCACACTTCTGTAATTTAATACAAAAGTAAATTTTTTTGTACTTAAAATTTAATTTTGTATTATTTCGCGAAAGATAACTGCGGGATATGACAGGACTTATATACGGGAAGTTAGTTGTTTTCGCCTATATTAGTGCAAACTTTTTTCCGGCGAATAGTTTTGTTTTTGCCGTGAGGGCCGGCCGAAGTTACCGTCGGAACATGAAATCAGATAGAAAACGCAGAGCGGTACTTCGGATAGTGCATTTACGAAAATTGCTAATGTTTTGGACAGTTTGTTAGCTTTACTTGTAATTCTTACAAGTAAACTACTATGAGCTTTGTGAAGTGGAAAGTGCGGTACTTAAAAGTATATTCGAAGAAGCTTCCGAAGAATAGTTAATCAGTGAGATAGAGGCAACTGATAAATACAGTGCAAGGTACTTTGAGTCATCAAGTGTAAAAGGTAAGCGCAAATTTAAATTACTTCCAATCGAGTTAAAAAATTATTTAGAGGTTCTTTCACTTGAGACCTTAGACAAAACCTGCTGACAAATTTGCGGTGATATTGTATCCTCTTATTGAGTCACGTTTGCCAGAACATATGATTCGACTATTACATCTTGTTTCCGTGTCCATGGAAAATATCGGAGAAACTGCAGAAGTTACAATTGCATGACGTTCCACACGTAACAATAAATACATTTTTTAGTGTTCTACATCTATTTTCAATACTTGGAAATGTTAAAACATAACAGCATCTTCCTTATCTTTCCCATAAAGGGTATATTCATTATCCACTGTTCGATTTCATTCCGCTTACGCTTCCAATATCCAACAGCTACTTCTCCGACATCTAAATCTGAAGAAACCTTCTTTATTGATTCACCCTTGTCCAACCTCTTAATTGTATTCACTTTTGTTTACAAAGGTGCAATTACTCTCTTCCGCTTTCCAGTCATATTGCACAGAAAGATTCTCTCTTATACTCACACACATCAACTTATGAAAAATTAATTATGAAACCGAAACATAACTAGAATAAATTCACAAAACAGTTTCTACATGAAAGAAAAATTATTACCGTACAGATTCTTAATTTGACGATTTGAACGACACCAAACAAATCGGTATTTAAATTCACATTGATTAACATAGAAAGGAACAGGAAGTTGTAGACAAAACACCACACAGAAATTTCTGCGCATGAAATCTCTTTCACATCAGCTTGACCTAATGCATACCTTACAAATAATTCTCTTCTTATCAATAATCCAAAATTTTCAATTGATTGCCCATATAACAGCTGCCGATATAACTTCTGACCATCGACCCTTTTTTTATTACTCGATATTGTAATTCAACAAGTACGACTATAAAGGTAAATAAAGGTAAAACCAAGGCAAAATATTGCCTCGGTTAACTGAGGGGCTCGGATAACCTAGACTCGGATAATCGCGAGTCTACTTAAAATTTAATTTTGTATTATTTCTGCGAAAACGCAGAACGTTAGTGCATTTACGAAAACTGCTATTATTTCCCTTTTTTAAATTTTTATTCCAAGCTTTCGGACATTGGTTATGTCCTTCATCAGGGAGCTACAAATGTGATGAATAATTTTTACAAATTTGTATAATTAATAAAAAATTCGATACTTACAAACTTGACGAGCTTGTATCATAAATGATTTTATAAAAATTGTTGATAAAATTTATCACAGTCTGTTGAGCTAAAACCTATTCCTATATTTAAAATTTTAAAAAATTACTTAACATTCACACAAACTTAATTATAGTATTATAAAAAATTACTTAACATTCACACAAACTTAATTATAGTATTTTTAATTTTTAATTTTTATTTTTATAAACGAAAATAATGGTAGAAAAAGTATAGTACACAACTTGAGTTGTAAGCTTATTACATGCTTGTAAAATTACTGCGCTCGCCGCTACGCGGCTCGCGCGCAACTTTTTTACTCGCATGTAATAACCTTCTTACAACTCTCGTTATGTAATATACTATTATGTTATTATATTTAACAATGTTAATATAATTGTATAGTATGTCTATGATTGCCGTAAGTCAAATAAACCTGGTTAATTTTTCCATGCACACCACACAAACAACACTAATTTCTTTAAAATCCTAGTAAAACATGGCGGAACGTCTGCGCGTACTTAATTTTCCGTGGAGAGTGGGTATTCTGTTTGTTTATTATTCTGTGACAGAATAATAAACAAACAGAATGCCCACTCTCCACGGAAAATTAAGTACGCGCATCTCCTTCGCGCAGACGTTCCGCCATGTTTTACGAGGATTTTAAAGGGAACCAGTGTTGTTTATGTGGTGTGCATGAAATAAAAAAAACCAGGTTTATTTGACTTACGGCAATCATAGACATACTATACAATTATATTAACAGTTTTAAATATAATAACATAAATATAATATAATTAAACATAAATGTAAACAATTGCATAACCTCACAAATCATATGTTTGTGTCCTCCTAAAACATGGCGCGCGTGCTGAAAAACTTCTAAGGCGGCATCTGAGAGTGGCCCTTCTGATTGTTTATTATTCTGTGCCCATAGTATCATGGTTTCACATGCACAGTTTAAACACAAACACGTGGTTGGGTAAAATCAATGTTGCCAAATGTAATTAATCAATGGATAGATACTTATGATTGATTATTTGAGAATAGATTAAGTTAATTAGGCAATGTGATTTTTCAACTTTAGAAGTGTGTTTAGTGGGTATGTGAAGAATTTTACCATTTATGAAATTTATTTTCCTTTTTTTGAAGAACTTCTATAATAATTATTTTATTATAAATTTGGAATATTCTTTGAAACTGATAGAATATTTTAAATCTTGCACAGCGGCATTTTTCACCAAATCCATTGCGCACGGTGTGGCGGGGTCCTAGGAGTGGATTCCAAATTGGAACCGTGAAAATGCGAGAGTGAACCTACTGATTCTTTTTAAAGCACTAAATCCCATTTTTTTCAGAGACAGAAGATGTAAATGTAAATAAACCAAACGAATATGAAATATGACAATTGACAATATGAATTTATGAAATCTATGAAATGTTCAGTAAAAAATGCAAAATTTCTCCGCTACTCGCGCACGATCGTTTCTCGTATCCCCTCCACCGGCTCCACCCAAGTACTTGCACCTTGCACGTCGCCAATCAAAGACCATCTACTTGGTGTAAATGGTCTTTGGTCGCCAATACTGACAATACTGTGGTACGTGGTATGGGTACGAGTGATAGGCGTAATATAATAAGTATAATAGGCAAATCTATAGAATAAGTGCCGAGAATTTGACATAAACGTCATGTCAAATTTGTGTCTGCGGTATTGTCATGTCCTTATTATGTGTATGTTTTATGCCTCAAATATGCTTTGAAACAGTACATTTTTATTATATTATTTTATGAAATCGGGTATTTTTTAAAATTTTTTGAATTTATATGAAACACGAACGAATGAATATTTGTTTCTTTTGATATTAGGTAGTTGCAGTTAGTTATTAGAAAAAAAAATTATAATTGGCCTTTGGTAGATTAGTAAAAAAACTTGGCAATACTGTCAAATTTTTGAAAACAGTAGTTGCCAGATTGCAACAGATGTTTAGCAGATTTCAATTTTATGATTTTTATGACTATTTTCTTATAATTTTGGGGTGAAATGGTATCTGAATATCGTTTTGTTAGCTAGTTACTGGAGCTTGTTCAGATCGATATTTTTTCAAATTTACGTTGCAGAGATTAAATTATCATTATTGACAATTTAATCCTTAAAATGTGAATAACAAAGTAAAAACATATCGGTAAAGATGTTTAATTAACTTTAATAACTTAAGAATTTAAAAGCTTAAAAAATTAAAGTTAATTTAAATTATAATAAATTAAATTTAAATTAATTAAACTTCTTTCAAAACACTAATTAATATTATATCGCATGCTCTTTCAGGATTTATTTGTGAGATGGCAACACTGCCAAATACAGATCTGTCACTAATCTTCTGTCAGTTCCTCGGCACTTGTTCTATAGGTCTGCCAATAGGGGTAACCTTTGTAAGAAAGTTAGTTTATGTTAATTTTATTTTCCTAAATACTAAATAATGTCTGCCGTTTATCATAAAACAATGTCAGCGTTAGATAAAGTAGTGCCATCAAAATTACAACCTTTATGGATGCATCCCGCAGGTAAATTAATTAGTTTAATAATATTGTTAGCATACTTTACAAATGTAAAATTTTAAGTTAGTGTTATCTAAGATAAATCTACAGTCAGATTATGGTTAACTTTAATATTGGTGTAATGAACATAACCTTGGCATACAGCTATATGTTTGTGCGGCACAGTGTTGCCACATTTTTTTGTATAAAGTATAGGAGTGTTTTTAAAATAGAAAGATACTTTGACGAAATTATATGTTTTAAAAAACTTGATACAGAAGTAAAATGCTTCACATTTGTATTTACTTAGGTAAATGTGAAGTGTTTTACTTTTGTATAAGTTTTTTAAACGATGGTATACAGCCAACTACTAGGATTTTCCCATTAATTTTTATATAATGTTTTGTTATGAGAAGCCACAATTTTTGAGTTCATATTAAAAAGCAATTATAAAATAGTATTTTTTACTTTAAATATAGCTAAATATTTAGTGTATTCTTTTGTTTAACCTAATTTTTTTTTCATTTAACGTTACTTTATTCTGTAGTTTTTAAAGTTTCTAAACTATTATTTTTACCTTTAGCATAATTTTAATGGTTTTTATTATATAGGTAAGTATTTTTAAATGTAGAAATGCAAGATATAATTTAATTATATATGTATTTTTCAATTTTACATTTTCATTTCATATAATATAAATCTTGCCAATAATTTTATATGTGAGAGTCTGAAATAATTGAGTATATGGCAACACTGACCTATATTAAGCTTACATTTAATGTCAAACATATCAAGGTTATGTTCATTGCACCAATATTAAAGGTATTAAATTATTTTGAATTACAGGACCAAAAACTGTATTTTTCTGGGCACCAATATTTAAATGGGTAAGTCTTCATATCTTAATCATGACGTTTCTTAATCAGGAATCTTTTCCAAAAATTCTAAAATAAAATTATGAATGATCTTAACATTATAACTGTTTATAATTGCCCACAAGCATTTCCTTTCTTATATAAAATATAATAAAATAAATTCGAATCTAGTCACTATTTAGTTAATTACCCAGAATAAATTTCAATTAGAAGAGCAATCAATATACTATTCAGGTTGAGAATCATTTTTAATTTTATAATTTATTATATATTTTGTAACACTGGCTACAACTTTAGAGTGACATGTATATAATTTGTTTTAGGGTTTGGTCATAGCTGGTATAGCTGATTTGCAGAGACCTGCTGACACAATTAGTCCATCTCAATGTGGAGCCCTTCTTGCTACAGGAGTTATATGGTCGAGATATTCTTTGGTGATTATACCCAAAAACTATTCATTGTTTAGCGTTAACATGTTTGTAGCAATGACTCAATGCTATCAAATGTATAGAGCTGTGAGGTAAGTACAGCTTAGTACTAATTAAATATTCATTTTGTGTATACATAGACTACAGTTATATGTATTATATTCTAGATAATAAATATTTTTACTTTATTCTCTGATAAATTAGCAATAAACAGCTTTAAATTTCAGATTATGATCTAGATTTAATCCATACTGCTCTGACTTGCTCAAAAAGAGAAAATTTGCTAGTACCAAATACCCAAGGTATCAAACTTCGGATTGAGCTTTGGGGATTACTAATATCATCTAGTTATAGATGATCTAATATGCTGGAGTATCTCTCAAAAATTTTCATAAGCATCTGGATATAGAGATTTTCAATAGTCCCCAGATGTTTTATAATGTGTTGAATGTTCTAGAAATGGCACCAATAGTAGAAAGGATAATTAGTATTATCTGGGTACTTCCCATTGTCTTTATTTCCATCTCTGTTGCCTTATCTCAAGATCTCCGTACTTTGAGCCTGACAAGCACAGGCACAATTCAGGGTTGTATTTGTATTTTGTTTTCCACAGAAATGAATTAAAATTAATGTTTTCTAACTTAACTGACCAGAAGTGCCCATCAGACACAAGAGATGAAAAGTAGGGAAAATGTCTCAAGTAGAAATTGAAGATCTATTGACAAAACCAATGTTCTATTGTTGTGGAATGCAACTTTTAGATTTGTCATATCTCTCTGACATCTTTTAGCATTGTCAGTTGTGCCTTGCAATTTATAGAAGGCACAGTGCTATGATGGGAGTAGGTTCTAGTACTATTTCTAAAATAGGCAAAGAAGCTGTGGAAGGAGGACTAAGGCCATTATAAAAACAAGAAAACATACCAAAAGTAAACAGCAGAAAGTTCACTAATAATACAGTAGTCCATACATGGCTCTGTGCCATTGTGCATAGTTTTTTCTTTAAAAATTTACTGCTGACATTGAACAAAGTTTTTGTACTGATTAAAAAAGACAAAGATTTCAACCTTTGTTGGAAGGTTGCGTTGGTAGATGCCTATTTATTCTTCTTGATTTTGTATTCATCCTCCCAATTTGTGTTCTCCCCAATTCATTCTAAAGAGAGAGAAGAGTCCAGCCCATTATTACTATCCCAGATTTAAGCCATACAACCCTCACCTCTATTGGCCAACTACAAGCACTGTTCAATATACAAGGACTTAAAGCAGAAAAAAAATCCGACACTTCGTCCAAAGTAAGTTAACTCTACCGATATTAAATCTGAACAATATATCTGTGGTGCTAAGACAAAAGCTGATATGTCAAAAAACTTGATTTTGCAGCAGACAAGTTTAAAAGTTCACGGTGTTGTTGAAATTAAGTTTTGATTTATAGGAACCTCAAAACACTTCTAATGTGCTTGAAACAAATACCATTTATCTCTCATGACAACAAGCTGTCAAATTTTTAAGGATAACAAAAATATTTGGATAATGAGGACATACTGGGTTTGGTCATCTTCAATTTTAATTGTAAAATAAACTTGTCTGTTACGAACATTCTATATCGGTATCAGCTCCATAACTGTTAATCAAGTCATAATCAAGAAATCAATTAAGCATCACAGGTATAGTAAAACCACTAAAGATTAGTGCAATCTGTCAGCATATCCATTGATTGGGAAGGGCCATTAACAATAACAGCCATCTACTGCCCACCACTACGACACCACGACATAATATAAACAAACAATTTACACAGTTCTTCAGATCTCTTGGAAACAGAGATTCATATATATATATATATATATATATATATATATATATATATATATATATATATATATATATATATATATATATATATATATACAGGGTGAGTCACGCTCAACGGGACGGAGCTTACCGGGGAAATGGCTTAAGATATTAAAAATTCCTTTTGTAGGAATACGTAGGTTAGTACCGGCTACAAATTAAAATTTGTGAGATATATACAGGGTGTCCCAATTTGGCGTAATGATATAAACTTTTACTTTTTTAAATGGAATAACCTATATTTCACTTTAATTTTGAATTCTGCTGAACAAAATAATGTTACTTTATTCAACATTCCCTATACCTATTTTTGACCGGTTTCGATTTATTTGGGTTTTTCTGAAAATGTACTATTCGCGAAATTAATTAATTACACAATATCGCATCAATTATAATTAACGCCTTTTTGTCAATTAATTTTCAAGTGTCCATGCTTTACATCAGAATAATTACCAATTGAAATTAATTTACAGAGTGTTCGCAATACGAAGTGTCAATGCTGTATAATAGTTTGTGTAATTACTTTCTTAACTTAAATGGGACACCCTGTATTTTACTTTAATTTTGAATTCTAATCAAAAAAATAATATTACTTTATTAAACAATTCCTATACCTATCCTTTATAATTTTCGATTAATTTGAGTTTTTTTGAAAATGCACTATTCTTGAAATTAATTAATTACACTTTATTACATAAAGATAAACAAAACACACTAGAAAAAAATTAATTTACATTAAATGTTCAAAATGGTGTCCATTTTCTTCAATACATAAACTCACTCTGTGTTCAAAATTTTGTTTTACTCTTCTTAGCATTTCTGGAGTAACTGTTGCAAACGCATTACGAATACGCGTTTTCATGTCTTCAGCGGTTGTAGGTGGAGTTTGATAAACCAAACTTTTAATATATCCCCATAAAAAAAGTCCATTGATGTTAACCCAGGTGATCTAGGGGGCCAATTGACAGCACCACCCCTACCTATCCACTTTCCGGGAAATTTTCTGTCTAAATATTCTCTAACGTTACGCGTGTAATGTGCTGGAGCACCGTCTAGCTGCAGAAACATTGTTCTTCTAATATTTAAAGGGATATTTTGCAAAAGTATCCAAAAGTCTCTTCGTAGAAATCTTAAAAACTTTTTTCCATTTAAATGGCCATTAAAAAAATACGGTCCTATCACATGTTCTCCTATTATTCCACCATATACATTAAGGGACCATCGGTTTTGTCGATCAGTACATGTATATTCATGTTGATTTTCCTTATTATAATAGTGAACGTTATGAACGCTATTCACGAGTCCATTATTATGGAAAGTAGATTCATCAGTGCACAAAATTTTATCAAAAAAATGTTGATCTGCTCCCGTTTTGTCTAGAAACCATAAACAAAATTCTAACCTACGTTCAAAATCAGTTCCATACAAATGCTGATGCATTTGAATATGGTATGGGTGATATTGATATTTTTTAAGAATTCTGCATATACTAGTTTGGCTTACTCTCCCTGGCCATCGTCATTGTACTTGTATTTGGATTTTCAATAACTGATTGAATAACTTCTAATTAGGTATTTTCATCTTCAGTTATCGGATTTATTAATTTTCGTTTAGTATAAACAACACTGCCAGTTTCACGAAACCTTGTTAAGACTCTGTCAAATACTTCTTTACGAGGATGACGTTTTAAGGGAAATCTCTCAGCATAGACTCTTGATGCTAACAAACTGTTTTGATCACATTTACCCAGTATTAAAATCATATTTACTCGGTCTTCAATTGAATAATCTTCCATTTCTATTTAATTGAAAGCAATACAGTTAATAGTTTGACAGTTAGTTTGACAGCTAGGTACCTTTTGTTTTTTCATGGCATTCTTTATAATAACGAGCTATGTAATTAATGACATTTAATGTTCCAGGTAACAAAATGCAAATAGATTTGAAGATACTAGATATTAATATAAAATTTTATAATAGTTTGATTATAATAATTGCTACAACATTCAAATACAGGGTTTTTGTTTAAGTTAGAGTAGAACTTTATGTAATAAAGTGATAAAAATTAATTAATTTCAAGAATACATAGTGCATTTTCAAAAAAATGCAAATAAATCGAAAATTCTCAAAGATAGGGATTGTTTAATAAAGTAATATTATTTTTTTAATTAGAATTCAAAATTAAAGTAAAATACAGGGTGTCCCATTGAAGTTAAGAAAGTAATTATGCAAAATATGGTACAGCATTGACACTTCAGATTGTGAACACTCTGTAGATTAGTTTCAAATGGTAATTATTCTGATGTAAAGCATGGACACTTGACAATTAACTGACAAAAAGGCGTTAATTAAAATTCATGCGATATTGTGTAATTAATTAATTTCGTGAATAGTACATTTTCAGAAAAACCCAAATAAATCGAAACCGGTCAAAAATAGGTATAGGGAATGTTGAATAAAGTAACATTATTTTGTTCAGTAGAATTCAAAATAAAAGTGAAATATGTGTTGTTCCATTTAAAAAAGTATAAGTCTATATCATTACGCCAAATTGGGACACCCTGTATATATCTCACAAATTTTAATTTGTAGCCGGTACTAACCTACGTATTCCTGCAAAAGAAATTTTTAATATCTTTAGCCGTTTCCCCGGTAGGCTCCGCGTCGTTGAGCGTGACTCACCCTGTATATACAGGGTGGTCCTTAAGTAATTGTACAAAAAGAAACCGTAGATTCTACACTTTAAAATATTACGATTTAAGTCAAGTTGCTTTAATAAAATGTTAATGTTAAGAAAGATACAGGGTGTTAAAGTGGAAATTTAAAATTTTATTTTTTGCTATAACTTTCATGTTTGTCAACATTTATGTATAAAATTTACAACTGGGTAATATTAAATATAAGAAATTATAATTTGATGTATACTTTCATGTAGCTGATAGAGGGCGCCACATATGCCACATATGCGGCATACATTTGCACGCCACATATGTGGCATACATTTGCACTTAACTTTTTTGCTCTTCAAGTTACCGGTTACTTTAATAAAAAATATTAAAGATACATTATTTTAACAAAAAAAAAGGTATACTTGTTAACATCTTCAAAACTCAACAGTTTTCGAGATCATCGCATTTTAGAAATCAACTACATAATTCTGATTTATCGCAATAGGGAACTTGACAATTTTTTTTATTTATTTATATATTTTATTTATATTTGTCTACATATAGAAACAATGCATACCACATATCAACCCTCAAATCGCAATATTTAATTTACAATGAACATTTAAAGTTCTGACAATACGAAGGACGATATGACGTCACGCTGCTAGTTCCTAGACAAGAGAACAACGAATTGGCAACACTGTTGCCACAAACTGTCAACTGTAAAAACATTGTTTTGAAGTGTAGATTTTGTTGTGGATTTGTGGATATTTTGTTTTTATTAGGTGTGCTTTAATAATATCAATAATAATAATGGAAACACAAAATCAATATTACAAATATTGTATGGTTCCCATGTGTTCCGATACAACTGCTAAAACGCCCGGAAAGATATTTATTCCGGTGCCTGAAGATAAAAACTGTCATTTAAAATGGTTGAATGCATGTAGAAAAAATGAGAAAGATATTTTACAGAAAACTAAAGCCCACGTATGTGAGGATCATTTTAATGTGAGTATAAAAATCAGACTCTATATCTAATCATCTACATATCATTATACATACTTAGCTATTATGTTTATTTCTTTGCTCCACAATGCAGTAATGTTTACTAAGTATAGTATTACCCTTGAATTACAAATAACCTTATGGTTATAATTGTTACTATATTTATTCATAATAATACATATTTTTTTTTATATGGCTTATTTAATTATTTATTCTAGCTTGAAGAAGACATGGATAACTATGTTGAATAAAAGTTAATGGGTGGTCAGAAAAAAATGAAAACTAATGTGGTGCCTCATATATTTCATTGCCAGAAAAATAGAAAAAGATCGTTTGAAAATCATCCCACTGCTGCAGGTACTAAGAGAATTTGGTGCTGAATTTCTTTGGTGCCACAAGATCCATTTTGTATTCAGGAGAATTTGGAGATAGCTGCATGTAGTAGTAAGACCATTCACCCTATGGAAATTCAGCTGGAAACAAATGACATTGAAGTTTCGAAAAGGGATGCCTCTTCACAAACCTGTCCTAGTGTTAGGACTAAAGGTGTTCAATGTAACCTACAGTGTGGAATTACAGTAGGGTTATCGCCAATCAAAAGTATTCCAGTCAACGTAGAGATGAAGCTATCAACAAGTTATGTGACCAATATTTCTGAAACTACTCTAAGCATACAAAGTAGTGATCATGAAAATTTTAGTGAAAGTAGTGGTATACTTTAACGCCCAGTGAAGTGAAAAAACTTAATGATGAAAAGAGAACTGAATTTAAAAATCTGACAATGAATTGTACAATCACAAAGTTACAAAACAGACCTAGATTGTATATGGGATTACCAGAACATGCATACTATACATTTCAATTGCTAGAAAAATATTGCAAGGTAAACTCTATGTACATATTTTTAACACTAAAAAAATCAGGACTGGACTTTCTTTTATAGCTCTAGCAGATGATTTTGGCATAACTGAAAGTTATGCTTCAAAAATATTTTTGAAATCTGTTCCAATTATAAGTAAATATTTAAGAAAATGTATAATACAACCTCATGTTTCATTTGTGAAATCAAATTTACCAATAGCTTTTCGAGCTCGATATTGTAATGTTTATTGTATAATTGA